CTTCTATGACTCTGGATCTGTTTTTGATCATCAGTTTATTTGGTTCGTTAGATTCCACATATGAGGGGGAGGCCTGGTGGTATGGAGAAGTTGGACCTTAGTTCTGATAAAACAGCCTGTCTTCCACTTACTGGCTTCAGCGTAGGAGAAGAGCAGGAAAATGCCTAGGCCAGGGAGCTTCATTTTTTGGCTTTTTTTTTTTTTGTCCCCCAGACTGTAGGGCAGCGGTTCTCAACCTGTGGGTCGCGACCCCTTTGGGGGTCGAACGACCCTTTCACAGGGGTCGCCTAAGACCATTGGAAAACACATATATAATTACATATTGTTTTTGTTATTAATCACTATGCTTTAATTATGTTCAATTTGTAACAATGAAATTGGGGGTCACCACAGCATGAGGAACTGTATTAAAGGGTCGCCGCATTAGGAAGGTTGAGAACCACTGCAGTGTAGGGTCACTTGAATGAGGCAAAGGGCCCCTATTCTTAGTGGAAAAGAGACACTCCTTCAGCACAAGTTTTCACTGGTGTGATGGTGCTGTTGGACATGCTTTTTCCTGCCATGTGTTAACGCCGGGAAACCCATTACCAGGGTGGTTGATGCTGCAGTCAGAGCCCTCAAGGGCCTGTGATAGACCCTCAGGGTTGTCACAGGATCGTCAGTCTGAGGCCAGGTCATGAGGGCTGTCATAGCCAAACTCCTGCACACCCAAAGGGTATTTGCTCCACATCTGTGGTCTGCTGTTGCCTCTTTCCTCTTCACTGAGGCTGTTGTATTCGTCAGAGCCTCTGGAATCTTCATCTCCGTCACTGCTCGCCTCCTCAGGGTACTCATGGCGCCAATTATTCTCACTATTCCCATCATCTTCATCTTCATGAATGTCCTGCAGTTGTTGGTCATCATTCACCTGCACATCAGCTCCCACTCCTGGCTGTAGGGCTGCACAGAGAGGATATTCTCAATCCATCCTGGAGTGGCCGTCTCCGAGTAGTACATGTCATACACACAGTCATCCTTCTGTTCCTCCCGGTGCCCGACACTTGCCCATCCTCAGATATAGTCAATCGCCCACGGATCAACTCGACAGAATTGCAAAGGATCGCATCTGGGTCAGGTACTTTGCAGGAGGCGGCGGCAGCAGCGGCCTCTGGGTCTCCTTCTTCCTGGACCAGATCCAACAGCTGGAAGCCTGCGTCACCGACTCCAGGCCATCCGAGGGAATGCGCGAGAATCAGCGGCTAGGCAGGGGTGGGCAAACTTTTTGACTCGAGGGCCACAATGGGTTCTTAAACTGGACCGGAGGGCCGGAACAAAAGCATGGATGGAATGTTTGTGTGAACTAATATAAATTCAAAGTAAACATCATTACATAAAAGGGTACGGTCTTTTTTTTTTTTTAGTTTTATTCATTTCAAACGGGCCGGATCCGGCCCGCGGGCCGTAGTTTGCCCACGGCTGGTAGAGACTACCTGTAGCGGCCCTCCTGCTGGATCTTCCGAGCCCATGCGCGGTGGTTGTGGCGGTTACCCTGCTGGTTGCCCCGGGATGGGCGCAGAGCGGCCCGCAGGAGCGGCTGGACCGGCTCCTCCTGGGAGCGCACTGTAGCCACCAACTGGAAGACATTATCCTCTGCTGCTCTCTCCAGACCCTCAGGGGACGTCTTCTGGCGGCATCGCTCCAGAGGCGTTTGCAAGCAAGGACCGGAGATTCGGCTGCGCTTCTGCTTCACACGGAGTACAGCCCTCCCACCAGCCGCCATAGCGCTGTCACGAAGCAGCCCACCACCGATATTTTAATTACACAAACCCAATGTTTGAACAACCCGAAAAAAACTCACTCAAATCCAGTATTTATGTGTAAAGAAGAGAAGAAAATTGTCATTTTACTAGTTCAACCAGAAAATCCCAAATATCTATTCCTTTCAGGGGGGAAAAAAAGAGTTAATTATTATTTCCAGGGCAAGTTTCTTGTATAAGTAATGAGTCATACTTGAACACTTCAAGGTGTTTTTAAAATATATATGTATTTTAGTGTAGTTTTATTGACTTAAGAGAGGAAAGAAGGAGCCCTAATTGGTTTGGCTCAGTGGATAGAGCATCAGCCTGCAGACTGAAGGGTCCCAGGTTCCATTCTGGTCAAGGGCATGTACCTTGGTTGCGGGCACATCCCCAGTACAGGGTGTGCAGGAGGCAGCTGAATTGATGTTTCTCTCTCATCAATGTTTCTAACTCTCTATCCCTCTCCCTTCCTCTCTGTAAAAAATCAATAAAATATATTTTTTAAAACAAGAGAGAGAGAGGAAGGGAAGAGAGACAGCAACATCACCGATAGGAGAGAATCATTGATTGGCTGGCTTCCTGCACATCCCCCATTGGGGATGGAGCCCTGATAGGCAATCGAGCTGTGACCTCCTGGTTCATAGGTCAATGCTCAATCACTGAGCCACACCAGCCAGGCAAAACCAAGTTTAGACCCTAAAATTTCACTTGAGATTATCCAAAAGTAAAAAAGAGTCCTCAGAAACTTACTATGTAGGCACAGGGAGAAAAGAAAAATGAGAAAGGAATTTTTATCAAAAGCAATGTAATACTGGAATTTCTTTTCTCAAAGTCACTTCTTTCCTGCCTTTTTGTAACTATTTTACACTATCTTTCAAGTTGTATTAATTACATGCATTTTACCTTAGTGACAAACGAAAACAAGGGGGCCCTTGATGGGGGGAGGGTGGGACTGGAGGTGCCCACTGGTCCCCATGGCTGTTGCAGAGCCCCAGCCTGGGAAGGAGAAGCCCTTTAAGTGCCTAGTAATCTTAGATGTTGAGAACGTTCCCTGTGCACAGGACTTGGGATTATAGGGTTTGTTAGGATCAGTTGAGGCTGACCTTGGACTTTTTTTTTTAGCTAGTAGAATCAGAAGATCATGTGATGTTGGAGTAGAAGAGTTTATCTTGGTGACTTTAGGATACTTGTTCCATTGTAGGTATAATTATGCAAAGGTAAGAATCCAGGAAAGAATCACCAGAGAAGGAATTAAAAATAAGATTTTATATGAAAGTACCCACCTTGATCCTGAAAGATAACAAGCCAACAGCAACAGCAGCAACTGAGTAGTCTCAGCATAGAGACTCAAATACAACTAACTCACGTCGGTGTGAACAAAGTTGAGATCAACTATGTAAAACATCGTATGTACTAATAGAGGCTTTTAATCAAGTGAATAAAGTATGTGTAAGTTGTAGAAAGAAAGAAAGGAAGTAAGAAAGAAAGAAGAAAGAAAGAAAGAAAAAGAAAGAAAGAAAGAGAAAGAAAGAAAGAAAGAGAAAGAAAGAAAGAAAGAAAGAAAAGAAAGAAAAGAGAAAGAAAAGAAAAATGAAGACAAGTCATTACAAGCATACATTGGATATACTGTGAGTTAGGTTCCAGACCATCACAACAAAGTGATATCACAGTAAAACAATGCTAATCTTACTCATGGAGGATATTGCTAACTGGACAGAACAGCTAGGCAGTGTCCAAGAAAGAACGTCCATGCAAAGATTTTCTAAGATGATGTCTGAGCCCAGGAACGATCAATAAAAATATATAAAATATTGAGCCCGAAACCTGAACATGTGCCCTGACCGGGACTCGAACCCTGACCTCCTGGTTCATAGGTTGATGCTCAACCACTAAGCCATGCTGGCCAGGCCATTTATATTTAAAGAGAATCTTTTTCTGGCCTGGAGGTGACACCTTCCTTCTGCAGTTTCTTTGTGAACTCAAGGGCACCAGTGCACACAGGAAATTTCCGATTCTGTCTCAAGATGGAGCAAGTACAGCTATGAGGCTGGGCAAGGCCAGATCACCCTGACAATGGTCGTGGAGGCAATGGAAAGAAATGATGCTGATGCACATGACGGAGGATGTCCCCAGGCAGAACCCACTTGGGATGTTCTCTTACGTTTCAGAACCACAGTCCAGAGATCTGTCCAATGAGACTGGGTGCTTATTTTCCATACTTCCAAATCTTTAAAATAAATGCTGAGATTGTTATCTATGGTAGCTCATGCTTTCCCCACAAGATAGAAGAATTTGGTTGATTCTCTCACTACTACCTCAAACGTCATGGTACTATTTCAGTCAGGCCATGAAGAAAAAAGTAGTTTAAGTACAAACACATATATTGATGTCCTGCCACTTAAAGGTACTTCATGCTTTAGACCACAAAAAGAATGAATTTCCTCCTAATATTTTCTCAGAGCCAAGAGCACTTTCTAGAACTTTAGATAATTTATTCCATTAGCATCATTTTCCAAGGTCGTGAGAAAAATCTCTCTCTCTCCATGTGTACAAAGGATTCCCTGAGCTCCACTGGAGCTCATTGGCTGAGAAGACCATCTTGTAGGATGCCTTGAGTTCTCGAGGGTTTGCCGTGTTGCAGGTGGATATACGGACACTCTAAGCATATTCTGGCCTGTGTGTTTGCCATGATGAAGATCACAAGAAACACATGCTCTTTCCAAGATAGCATGTCTACAATGATGACCACAGTGATTAAAGAACCCTTGAAAAGCAGAAAAATTCGTGGCACTCAGTGCAGGGAGCACTGCAGCATTTTTTGCCCAGATGGGGCCACAGCTGGAACTGTATAATTCCCACAGGTGCAAATAAGAGTAAGGTGTGGAAGGGCAGGGATGCGATGTAATTTCTGCAGCAGCAGGTTCCTGAAGTTCAACCGTGTGAGAGAAGAGACCAAACGTGTATCTTCCCCAGTGAACATGCATTCTTAGTAGGAAGTCATTTATTTGAGGTTGAGATGAGAGAGAAAACAAAACAAACAGCCAGAGGTATTCCAGACTTTAGGAAATCAGAATGATTTCTAGAAAAACTGCTTGGAGACTATTGTTTTTGAGATAGCTGTGAAAAGGAAGGTGAAAAAAAGATGATGAAATGCAAATATATTCTCCATCTCAGTTCTTCATGGTGAATACCCACAGACCTTTCTTCCTGCTGTGTATGGTGACTGATGCTGCTCCTCCCCGTGTGGTCCTCCTGGTAAGCTGAGTCCTGGGTGAAACGTGTGCCCTCCTTTCCTCTCTCCATTGAGGTCACCTGTGGTTCTGTGGCTCTGCCCTAGGCTGCCTGTGTCAGATGGCCTCCAGGTTCTTCTGTGTCCCAGGCTCGATGGGGTTATTGCTGCAGTTTGGGTGGGGCTGCTTGTCTCAAATGATACTAAAGGTGAGCATTTCCTCAGGGACTGGAGAGAGGCAATGGTCAGAACCAGGAATCTGTGATACTCTATGGAGAGGCTGCCGGCAGGGAGTGCTTCCATGTCCGGAACATTTTCTAAAGTTAACCATTCTAAATACTCAGAACTCATTCCTGTCCCCTCTCCCGGAAAGATGGCTTGTTTTTGGTTTCAGTGCTCTTTATTGGAACCTTTTTTGCAAATCCACACGTCAGTCTCCAGTTGTCAACAAAGATGAAAATGGAGCCAGATTCATTAGGTGCCTTTTCAGTGTGTGTGTTTGCAAGGAAGGACCACTGTTCCCTGGGGACTCTTAGCGCTGCCTCTCAGTGCAAACGTCCCTGGACAGAACTGGCTGCTTTGGGCTCAGGCC